TGGGGCGTCACTCTCCTCCCGTGACCCTTCAGTGGCTTACGTGACAGGTGGATGGTGGCAAGGTGACGCTGCCTCACTTCTGAGGCTCCTTGAGGAGCAGCTGGTAGATCTCTGCCTCAGCCTCAACACCGGTTCTGGGGGCTCTCTGCCACGCAGACATCCTCCCCCCAACCCCCGACTGCCACTCTGGAGAGGCCTCTCTGAGGATCCTGATGGTCCCAGCCTCCCAGCTGTCCCCGCTAAGGCACTCGAGGTGCCCTAGACATCAGTGAAGCCCAGACCAAATGGCGGCCAACCCTCAATGACCTTAGTCAATCCAGATGGAGAGGACCGCCACCAAGGCTGCCCGAATTCATGACCCACAAAATAGAGACCATAAATGGTGGTGGTTTCAACAGCAAATTTGGGGCTAATTGGCTAAGCAGTAATAGTCATCAGAACAAGTAACATCCACCACTGCTGAAAACACCCACCTCCTATGACCTACCAGGTCCGCTCCTGGGTAAATATCTAACCAGGTTCGTCTCTATTTGCACCAAAAGACACATGCAAGAAAGGTCATAGCACCATATTCCCAACAGCTGCAAACTGGAAACAACTTGAAAAAGGCAAGACGAGAACTGTCTATCGGCTAGATTGGGTTGGATGGAACCTGGAAGAATCAGGGACAAGGCTGGCAGCAGAGGGGCCTGGATTGGCAGTTTGTGGCCTCTTTAGGGGGCTCCCAGTTAGATGGTTGTACAATGCCAGGTGTGACGTGCACTGTCACAGCCAAACACCCAATGGAAGAGGAGGCACCACCTAACACCCTCAACACCCGCAGCATCATGTATGTGTGAGCTAGTGTCCCCCAACCACCCACTCTGCTTGTATTTGCTCTGATCACTGCAGAGTTCACAGTGTTGTGCCTGGTGATAAGAAAGAAGGAAAGAGAGAGAGAAAAGAAGGAGGAGGAGGGAGGCTGGGAGAGAGGGAAGGAAAAAGGAAACACTAGGTCTCTTTCATTAAGAAACAGACACATAACAAATGATTTCCGCACAACAGGATGGCGAGTGCCGTGTTCCAGGTTTGCACACCACCCTTGTGCTGGTCACTAGACTTCACCTTAAACGCACCACCTATCTTCTGCATCCCTGTTAGAAAGGAAGCTTTTTGAGGTCAGGGACTGTGTTCTACAGAGTTTTCAATTCCCACAGCATCCAGGCCCTTGTGCGTGGTCGCTACGTCAAGCTTATTTTTAAAAAGCTGGATGACTGAATTAAGTCAGAGCCAGCTGGGTTTGTGAGATCACCCATGAGGTGGCCTTGAGCTGAACCCTCCTTCCTCTGCAGTCAGGTTAGAGGGGATATGCTTGGGGCTGAGGAAATGAGAGCTCATGAGAAACTAGCCTCTGGTTTGCCCTGAGTCTGTGGACTGAACTGAAGGTCTGTGGACAGCTCGTTGTGCATCCAAGAACAAATGCCCCTTCCCCAGTGATGTTCCATGATGGCCATCACAATGAACTCCAGGCACAATTGTCCATGTAATTATATAGTGTCATAGAAAGGCGGCCAAGAAATGGCCCCTGGTCCTGGGGGCTGAGGATCCCCCAGGTAGAAGGGAATACCCAGCAGGTGAGCGGTGTCTTACCTCATCTGCCTTTGGCCTCTAGGGGACTGACTCCCTGGACCCCAGAAAACCTTGGCACCCCTGTGATCTATATCCCACTACCCAGTTGCAGTTCAGAAATTGGGTGTGGTTCAGAAACCACAAGTGCACACACACACAATGAACAGAATGCAAATTGTGCATGAACTTCATTGATTTCTTAATCATTAACTATCTTTTATCAACCAATTAGAAATGTGCAACTAATATCATAGGGGAGAGGGAGGCGTCCTGGAATGCTAAAAGGCTCAGAAATACAGCTCTGTTTTGCTCTCAGATTGTTTTACTCCAAATGGAGAAATTAAAATTTCACTTTCAGGACTTATCTGAGCCAACAGAGGGCGTCATTCACCTTTACAAGTCCCTTGAGCACTTTTTTTGGTTGGGAGATACAGGAGTCACGGGACCCTGAGATGCACTGAATCTAAATGGGCTTTCTGCTGTAGACGAAGGCAGCAGGGTGTGGGTGGTATTGGCAACTGAACAACTAGCATACAGATACATCTAAAATGCCGTATTCCTTTTGAATGGAGTAGAGTTGAATCAGTTTTCTCTCTTCCATTAAACTCTTTATCTGGCTAGATTGACCTAAGGACATCAGCCAATTCTCTCACCTTTGACACATATCCGGGAGTTTGGGTTGGGACACTGTTGACCGTCCCATTTTCCAAACAAGTGGGAGTTTGTTGTGTGTAATCAGGTTATACGTTGGGGGTGGGGAGTGAGTGATCCTGGAAAAGGCCACCAGAGGGAGCCAAATGACTGCTTTAGAATCACTCACTGCGGTTTTGGAATTCCTCTCTGGGAAGTGGCTTGCTGATACCTTTTGAGCCACCCAATCCCTCCCCGTCTCTCCTTCTCCCCCAGACATTTTTTTAAAAATCAGAAATAACCATAGCGCTAGAAATGTATATTCTGTATTTTCTTACCGAACAACCCACAGGCTTTAAACAAACAATACCGCTGTGGTGAAATATTTAGCAATGTAAAGATTCTCTCCTTTCTTAGCAGGGAGTAAAATAATTAAAGCAATCTTGCCTTAGAAAATAAATTAGCTGGTAGATGCACAGTGAGCAGCAAATCCAGTCAAGTATATTGGTGGGCTAGGGGAGGGGAGAACGGTTTATGAGTATGGTCATGTAATTTTCAAACAACATGTTAAGCATCTGTTTTATTTTTTTTTCCAGTTTTTAAAAGGAAGATTTATTTAACAAGTTTCACTTAGTACAATACATCTAATGGAAATCACAACACAAGGAAAGATTTAAATCAAAGCCTCAGAATTTCATACAAACAACATGACCAAACTCCTAAAGTATTGGTATGACATCTCAAAATTGTCTTGGAGCTTTTTTTTTTAAAAAAGTAAACATGTACACTCACGTGCCTTACAGGATATTAAACCAAAAAGCTAGAATTAACACACATGCCAAATGTTTTCACTTTATTATCGTAGACAGAGCTCCTATATTTGAGTTTTACAGAAAAGCATGTTTCTCAACATGCATCCAAAGTTTTCAGTGGATTGTGGTATAAGAGCAACATTTAACGTAAGTGAACTTGCTTTAACCTAAATATGCTTACTGCTTAGGTACACTCCTACAATGTAACTAACTTGAGGAAAGCTGGAAGTTGTTTTAACAGTTATGGTCAATACTGAACTTTGTTATTACATCCTAGATGAATGTTTCAGTGTTCAAAATTACGGAGCTTGAAGTTTTAAAACAATCTTGACTTCCATTTTACAGTAAGCATGAATCACAAGCCTGTAATGCAAAACTGTTAAATATAATTTTTGCTTGTTTTCTTTAAAAAAAAAAGAGAGAGAAAGAAGGAAAGAAAGAAAGAAGCTAGCTGACCAAGAGTGATCAGAATCAATGATATTTCCCGTTTACCAATCACACTGGATATGCCTGACATCTCTCCCACTCCATTCAACTCCCATAAATGCACAGCTTTTGTATCTGTTGCAGTTGTTTATTGCTCTTTCTCTCTTAAGCGAGGTTGGACTGATAGTCACTGGAGTTCTCCTGCAGAACTTGGTCATATCCACTCATGCTGCTCTGACCACCATAGCCACCTCCGTAGCCACCACTCAGCTGCTGGCTAGCAGGACCCCCGTAACTAGACTGGTTGGATATACCCATCCCTCCCATCATTTGGCTACCATAAGCACCACCACTAGCCCCTGTTGTAGAATTCAAAAAGAGCTCTACATAGCTGTGATCATAAGCTCCCCTGTTTGTGCCTGCGGTAGAATTCAAGAAGAGCTCCACATATCTGTGTTGCATGTTAGCTTTGTCTTTTGCCATAGCTGCCACGGCATCTTCATGAGTAGCAAATTCAACATCTGCCTCACCAGTAACTCTGCCATCAGGCCCAATTTCAATGTGTACTCTCATGGGGTTAAAAGGCAAGAAAAAATTGTAAATATCACTCTGGGTGGCTCTGTAAGGTAATCCCCCCATGTACACACAGTGCCCTGTGGTGCTCTGACCCACCATCTCCATATCTATGATCAGACATTCTTGAAAAACAGTAATTGAGGTCTCTTCCTAATCGATCAGATCCAAAGCCATATCCATCATTATAGCCACCATAATCCTCATAGCCTCCATACCCTCCACCATTGGCACCACGCCTCATCCTTTCAAACCCAGCCCCTCTGCCAATGCTATTATACCCTCTGCCAGCCCCCCGGCCTATCATAGGGACCTGGCCGCTGCATAGCCATGAGCTTTCGAGGTGGGTCGTAGTGGGGTCGGACTTCAGCTCGGCTACTCTTGAAGATCTCAATGTACCTGTGCACTATTCTTTCCTTGTGTTTCTTTAAGGCCTTTTCGGCTATCTCCTGGGAAGCAAACTGCACAAAGGCCTCCCCTGTGCTCCGCCCCTGAAAATCCACTGGCAGTGTCATCCCATTTGGCACAATTTCCAACCCTGAAAAGAACTGAACAATCTCTTCCTTGCTACAGCCAAATGGGAGTCCTCTAAGCCGGACGAAGCCGTCATTGGCAGCATCAGGACTTTTCGGACCTGTATGCTTCAACACCCAATCCATTTCAACACTGTTGGACTTGAATACTTCAGCATAGCTGTGTCCCATGGTTTCTCTGTCCTTCCTCAAAGCCAGCTTCACTTCATGTTCGGATTCAAGTTCAACAAATGCTTCTCCACTTGGTCTGCCTTCTCTGGTGTAGATGAAACGAATACCTGATTTTGGATTTTGCAATCAGAGAAGAAGCGCATCACTTCATCGGCTGAGCAGGACCAGGGTAGGCCCCTGATCTTCACCACGAACCCCTCCCTGCCTTCTGTGCCTAGCATCATGGTGTCTGTTGGGCTTTTGGTGGCAAGATCAGCTCAATGGAATTTCGGTGTAGCTCTAACGATACCAGATAATTTTCCTCTTTCTTCCCTCAAATGGCTATAGCGAGACGGTAGATGACGACCAGAACTACTTCTGCTCACAGAAGCGATTGATCACGTGTTAAGCATCTGCTTTAAAGGGGACTTGACGGTGATTTTTCCTTCTTACACTGTGATAAGGCTTGGCTCCGCACAGGGAACCCAGGACAGTGATGCCACTGCCTGTACCCTTGACACGATCCCATAAAGAACTGTGCCCGGGAATTAGATGGCATAGATGTACTGGCTTTCTGACTATACACAAAAAACACCAATTAATTCACAATTAATGAAACCCTGAATAGAGTAACATGCATCTCACGTCTTAGGTGTGTCGAAGCTACTGTAATGTGAGGACTGCCCCCCCGATACAATGGCTTAGAGATAAAAATATTTATTTCTAATATAAGAGGCTGGGGTGAGTGTTCTGGGCCAACGGGCAGCTCTCTCCATGTGGTCATCCAGGGACACAGGCTCTTCCATCTGGGGCCCTGCCGTTCGCAAGGACCATGTGGTCCTCTGTGTGGCTGACTGGCCCTGTCTTTGAAGAGGACTTGGTCACAAAGACACATGTCACTGCTGGGAAATGAGGTCTTGCTGGGCAGCCATGCACACAGTTACAAGTTCACTGCCATGGAAAAAAGCAAACCTGATAGGAAATTAGCTGTCTCCACCACACTCAGTACTCAAGCCTGTGCCAGTCAGCATTTTATTACTCACTTTCATAAGGACAGACGTTACCTGCTTGCTAAATTAGAGGATGACAGCAGTATGGGAAAGGGGGGTGGGGAATCTGATGATAGATGAGGACTTCAAAAAAAAAATCATACCTTAGGAAATGGTTTTTTAGATACGACACCAAAAGCACAAGGAACAAAAGAAAAAATAGACAAACTAGACACCATCAAAATTTAAAACTTTTGTATTTCCAAGGACACCATGAAGAAAATGAAAAGAAAACGCACAGAATAGGAGAAAATCATAGCAAATCGTATATTTGATAAAGGACTTGTATCTGGAATATATAAAGAACTATTATTACAGCTTGATGATAAAAAGACAATTAACCCATTTTTTTATGGCAAACTATCTGCACAGCTATTTCTCCAAAGAAGATACACAAACGTCCAACAAGCACAGGAAAACACCATTAGCCACCCAGGAAATGCAAATCAAACCCACGAGACAGCACTCCACACCCACTAGGGTGGCTGTAATCAAAAAGACAGATAATAACAAGTGTTGGCGAGAGTGTGGAGCGACTGGAAGTCTCATACACTGCTGGCAGGAATGGAAGATGGTGCGGCCACTTTCAAACACAGCCTGGCAGTTCCTCAAATGTTTGAACATAAAGTCACCCTATTCTGCTCCCAGGTGTACACCCAAGAAAATAAAAACATACATCTGCACAAAAACTTGTACACAAATGTTCACAGCAGCCAAAATGTAAAAATAACCCAAATGTCCATCAACTGATGTGCTATATCTGTATAACAAAGTATTATTTGGAAAAAAAGGAATACTAATATTTTATAATAACTTTATATGGCATATAGTCGATAACAATATTGAATCACTAGGTTGTACATCTGAAACTAATGTCATATTGTAAGTCAACCTCAATTTTAAAAAATTAAAAATGAATTATATGATGTACTTCTGAATTGTTTAAAAACTGGAATAAAAGTACTGAGACATCTACAATATGGATGAACCTTGAAAACATTAAGCTAAGAGGAAGAGGCCAGTCACACAGGACACATATTGCATGATTCCAATCGTATGGAAAGTCCGGAATGCACAATCTGTAGGGACAGAGAGCAGATTAGTGGTTGCCTAGGGCTGGGGGGCTGGGGGGACCTGGGGAGAGGTGTGACAGCTAAGGGGTGAGTGGCTGCTTTGGGGGATAATGAAAATCTTCAAAATTGATTGTGGTGATGGATATAACATATAGTGAGTATATTAAATATACTAAAAGCCACAGAACTGTACACTTTAAGCCGGTGGCTTGTATGGTATGTTCATCATTCCTCAGTAAAGCAGCTAAAAACTTATAAGCAGCTAGAACAATGGGCTGACTCTACCAAAGGAAACTTATCGTAGCTCCATGTAACCTCCAGCTCAGAGACTCTGAAAACCCCTGCACAAGAATGGGATAGGACGACAGTGTTGACAGTGACACCAGGGAAAGGGGCAGAGGGGGTGGGGATTGCCGTGTATCATAAGCTCCTTATGAGCAAGCAGCATGATGGAGCAGCCAGAACAGCTAAACATGCTGAATCGAAGGCTGTCCTCGCCCAGCAGAACTCCCAGGGGCTGGAAACGTATGGGGTACTCTGGAAAACCATCAACAAAGCCATCATTCGCAGTTCTAAACTCACTATTGGGAAAAATTAATGCGAAAAAAGGTTGAAATCTTTTTTTAACATTTTTTATTGATTTATAATCATTTTACAATGTTGTGTCAAATTCCAGTGTTCAGCACAATTTTTCAGTCACTCATGGACATATACACACTCGTCACATTTTTTTCTCTGTGAGTTATCATAACATTTTGTGTGTATTTCCCTGTGCTATACAGTGTAATCTTGATTATCTATTCTACAATTTTGAAATCCCAGTCTATCCCTTCCCACCCTCCACCCACCTGGC